CCTGAAGCAGGTTCCATTTAACACACACACACACAAACGTGTGCACACACATCCACACAGATGTGTATCCTCATCATGCCTAGCCTGCCCGCCCTCTGGGTACATTTTTCTTTTTCTTTCTTTTTCTTTAGTGCTCTTTTATAACAAACTACCAGCTGTTTGTTAAAGCAAAACAAACAAAAGTCTTTTGCAACAACAGAGAGAGAGAGAGAAGAAAAGGAAAAGAAATGCTTTGCTGCCATTAAGATGTCCCTTTCAAAATGCCTCTCCTGGCAGACTGGGCTGCAAGTAGGGGGAGGTGGAGGGAGAGATTGCCAGTTGTGGTTTATTTGAAGTAGTCTCGAGGTTTCCAGCTGGGGGGCAACCTCACTTGGACCAAGCGGCTCTAGGACCTAAACCTTCGTCCTTCATTGTCCCTCTGCCTGGTTAAATGTAGAGGTGTTTTCCCAAGGCGATGGATGCCCACCCCCATACACACACCCCTCACTCTCTAGCTGGGCACCTAGGAAGTTGGGTGGCCCCTCCCACCTGGCCCAGTGCACTCTGGGAATGTGGAGGACCATGGAGGAAATTCTGTCTCCTCTTCCAGGTCAACCCAGATCCCCCAGCTGACCTGGGTCTGTGTGGAGGTGTGTTGGCTTCACTGGAAAGCCAGTGGCAAGAGAAATGTGGTATCTTTCCCCCAGCTCTCAGCCACACACTCCCTCAAAGGTCCTGCAGGGATCCCCTGCAAACCCCTAATGAAGGATAGCTCTTCTCCTCAGTTACTGGGATCTGATGCCTTCTATGGTTTTGCAAAACACGTTCCCCCAGGGCTAGAGGCTGCCCCAGGAATGGTGGGCTTGAGCAGTTCAATCCTGACTTTAAGGGAGGTATTTATACCAGGCTAGGTAATCTTAAGACTAGGTTAAGTAATACACCGGGCAGCCTGGGTAGGGGCCTCAGGTGGGGTTATGTACATCCCGGGGAATAGTAATGTGTCTGTTTCCTTTTGGCCAACCCTTTCCCCAGGTGCCTTATTCCCCACTTTCTCTGCCCTTACTTGCTTTGCTCTATCTCTTTCTCTTGTTTGTTTTTTGTGGCACGGGGATTGAACTCTGGGCTTTCACACTGAGCCACATCCCCAGCCCTTTTTTAGTGTTTTATTTTGAGAGAGGGTCTTACTACGTGGCTCAGTTGCCCAGGCTGGGCTTGAGCTGTGACCCTCCTGCCTCAGCCTCCCACAGGGCTGGGATTACAGGTGTAACCCCAGACACAGCTATGTCTTTCTCTCTTTCTGTCTCTCTCTGTGTCTTTGTCCCTTTGTTCGGCTCTCTCTCTTCTCTCCCAGTCTCTGTGGCTCTCGGGGTCTCCTGTCTCTCTGCATCTCCATCTCCCTGCTCTCTCCCTCCTCCCTCTCATCCCTCTCTCTTCCTCACTCCCTGGCTCTGTCTGTTTTCTTCTCGCCATCTGCCTGTCTTTCTCACCTCTCACCTTCCCCACAGTCCCCACCAGCTCTCAGCTGAAAGGAAGGGACAGCTGCTCTCACCCCTGAGGACCTGGAGTGGCCCACAGGCCTGGGGAAGGGACAGTGTGCTCCTGCTGCTGAATAGGAGTTGGCCAACTGAGTCCAGCCCCAGGAGTGGGAAACTCATTGACCTGACTGCACTGGGAGCCAGGAGGCCTTCGGGGCCTGGGCAGGAGCCAGAAACCCCTGGCCACACCAGGAGGTGCACGATGGACCCACAGGTGTCCCCCATCTGCCCAGTTCTTTCCCCTTGAAGGCCTGGTTATTTCCCTTCATTCAGGGGACAGAGAAGATGGAGATGGGGGGCTGAAAAAGCAGCGGACTGGAGCTAAAGTCAGGACACCTGGTCTCCCAGCCAGGCGGGCAAATAAACTCCAGGGCAGGGGTGGGAGGGGACACTCGATCTTAGGGGTCCCTTGCAGGTTTTGGATTGTAGGATTCAGGAAATTGGCCCACAGAGGTCTTAATATATGCAAGGCAGTTTTCTAAGAAAGTGTGTGTGTACTCTGTATTATACTGCATCTTTCTACACACACACTCTAAGCCTCCTTAATCCAGAATCCGAAGCTTTCTGAGCACCAACATGATACCATACACAGTCATCTCTGTGACTGTTCTCCCGTGCTGGCTCGCAGTCAACACAGAAGCTGCAGGCGCACAGAGATGTGGTATATGATTACCTGCAGGCTACGTGTATGTGTTGTTTTTTTTTTTGGTACCGGGGATTGAACTCGGGACCTTGTGCTTGTGAGGCGCCGGAATTACTGAGCTAAATCCCTGGCCCTCGGGCTACCTGTATAAAGTGTACATGACGTGATAGAAGAGCTCATTATGCAAACATTCCCAAATCTGAAAAGATCCAAACTGGAGCCTGTTGACCACGCCCAAATGCCTAGTGATTCCTGAGCTCTTACTGCACGCCCCACCCCCTGGGGGAGGGCTGAGCGGGCGCATGCGTGACCTCATTGCCTTCTGCAAGAGCCACCAGGGCTGGCCTTGTTATGCCATTTTTCAGAGAAAGCAACTGCGGCTTAGAGAGGTTAAGGGTCTACCCAAAGTTTCTAGGCTCTATTGAGCATGGTGGTGCAGGCACACCTGTGATCCCAGCAAAAGAGAGGCTGAGGCAGGAGGATTTCCTAGAGACTGAGGCCAACACGGACTACATAGTGAGACCCTGTAACAAAACAAAGTTCCAAGGCTGTCATATGCCATCTCCTAGGTTCCGGGTGTTTGGTTGCAGCCCACTCACTGCTGTGCAAATGTACCCTTACTAGCACTGACCACGGGGGAAAGAAGGCCCATGAGGGCACTTTTGCTCACACTTGAATGCACCTGCTGGCCGACACCTGGCAGATCCTCACCTGCGGGGCCACCCACTGAGCTCCACCACACTGTGGTCCCCCTTGGGGAAGACAGGGCCATGAAGCATCGCTGCTAGTGTGGGAAGCAAGCCCATCTCAGGGTCCCTTCCTGACTTCTGCTCCAGGAGACGGATGAGCGGGCAGCCAGGGTTGTGTGACCCCTGGACACACAAAACTTCAGCCCCGTTACCAGGCAACACATTGGCAGACCCTCCTCCCCAGCTAGTTTCTCTGCTGCTTCTCTAATCTGAAAACAATGGGGAAACTGAGGCTCAAAGCACTTGGCTGTAGCTTGGGAAGCTCACTAGGGCCCTGCCCTGTGTACGAGGCAGGGCTACAGTGAACGGAAACCACAGCGCCCGGCCTCTTTCGAAAGGGAGGTGAAGCCAAGCGCGTCGAGGGCACCGCTGGGCCCTGACAAAGCCAAAGTCGGTCAAAACTCGGTTGGCGGCTGCTGTTTGGAACTCATTCGTTCTCCTCCCAGGCATCTGCCGGGGTCCCTGCTGGGACCTCAGGAATGCGGCTTGGGGAGGGGTGTGGGTCAGCAGGGCAGAGGGCAAGGGATCATCTGAGGGCTGCTCAGACTCGGCTCCCCGCAGGTGGAGGTCCTCACCGCAGAAGGGGTGCAGCTACTCAGGTAACTGGAAGAAAGGGGCGATTCTGATGTTAGCTTTGGAGTCCGAATTCCGCCTGCATTCGCGGAAAGAGAGCAGAGATCCGGGACAGCAGGTGAGAAAGAGATTGAGTCAGCCTGAGCGATTCGGGACCCTCGTGCTGTCCTTAAACACTTGGTAGAGGCCCAGGCCCCCTAAACCTATAGTTTGGGGAAAAGCAGCAAACGTGAGAGCTGCCGCTAACAAAACCACTTGTATCTTCCCTGGCTGGGTTAACAGGAAGCCAGTAAGGGGGGAACATAGCAGGCGCCTAATGATTTGTGCTGTGGGTCTCCTTAATTCTAGGAACTCATGAGGCAGACACAGGATACCGAGTACGGAGTCCACCCAGCACCGTGCTGCATGGTGGCGGGGGGGGCTCTCCTTACTGAGCCAAGAGCTCTATCCAAAGCCACCCAAGGCTGGAGAGCTGGAGAGGTCCCGCCCGGAGCACACCACAGTCTCCAGGCCCCCGCACAGGTGCTCAGTCCCCTCTCTGCACCGGGCCCTGGGATGCCCGCGGTCCCCCGCCTCGCTGCCCCAGATCCTGCCGGGCTGAGCGGGCACCTCGGAGAAGAGGTTGGAGAGGGGCCTCCAGGAGGACAGGAAACTCCCACAAAGTCCAGGGAGGAGGAGAGACCCGGAAAGACCCAGAAAGGTCGGCGACGGTCAAGGTCAAGGTCAAGGTCAAGGGAGAAAGAGAGAGACAGAGGAGGGGAGCGCGGGGCTGGGAGCGCACCGCGCAGGGCGACCGAGCAGGCGCAGGGCGTACGAGCTGCGTTCCCGCCGCGCCTCGCCAGGCAGGAGAGGAGAGCCCCGCCGACCAATTTGGCTTGCACAATGCCCGCGCCCCAGGATCCCTTGCCAGGCCGCTGGGGCTTGATTCATTTCTTCACTAATTAACTGGAAGCTGCGTGGCCCCATCTTTCAGGGCTCAATGAATTCGCCGCGGGCGCCTGGGTGTTGGCTGGGCAGTGGAGGTGCCTGCCTGCAGCCGCTTTGTGAAGGTCCGTCTGGGCCGAATGAATTCCACACACACACACCCCACACGCATGCACGCGCAAACAGACACACGCACACACGTGCACACGCACACACAAGCCTTGAAAGACCTGCTGGAAGTGCAGACCACCATAAGGTTGTGTGGGACTTACACCTCCACCACCCACCAGTTGCCTTTGTTGGACAGGAAGAGGCCAAACAACAAGCAGTTTCGGGGTCTGCATGGGAAAGGGGTAAATGGAAAATCCCCCCCCCCCCAAAGGACAAAGCCGTAAAGCAGGAGGTCCCTCGTTGGACCTCCTGTGTGCCTGCTGACCTTCACAGCCCTGGTACTATGGCCAGCCGCTGAGGTAGACAGGCCCCGGGCTTGCATCCTAGATGCCCCACGAAACCAGCTATGCGACCCTGGGCAATGCCTTTGTGTCTCTGAGATTATTTGTCTTTGTTTTGTCCCCTGAAAAAACAAAAAAGGCTGTCACGGAGAAGATGCCTGATCTCTTGGGTCACTGTCCTCCATGAGCAGACAGTGTCGTCCTCCTGGGGATTCAGAAATACTCTAACAAACCCATTTCTCGGATTCTAGTCCGGGCAAGGGACAGAGGGCTCAAAACGCAGCGATCCCGCGGTCCAAATCCCAGGCGAGCCATTCCAGAACGAAATCCAGCTTGGCGCTCCTACGCCCTCTCTCCTTCGTAAGGAAACAGCCCTGCACACCTTTCCGGTGCAAGAGAGCTGCTCTCCCAGCCCCAGCTCTCCTGACGGGGCTTTTTGAGTCTTCCCGCCCGCCCCACCCCCATCCTTTCTCTGGTTCTGGAACCAGAGCCCGGCTGGAGAAAGCCCAAATCCCCAAATCTTCTGGGCGTGACCAGGCACCGCTACTTCTCCGTTTCCGAGAGCGGACAGTCCTGGAGGTCCGCATCGATCGTGTTGACCTCACGGTGGGCTGGCTTGTGTCCTTCATCGATCAACTGAACGAAGTCTAGGACAAAAACACAAGGAAGGAAATCACAGGGTTCTTTGTAAAGCCAGTGGGAAGTGGCTCAGCCCTAAGGAGAGGACCCGAGGGGGACCTGAGTCTACCCCACACAGTGCTTCAAGCAAACAAGCTTCCCCCTCCAAGCCGCCTTATCCTGTTGCTGATTTATTTTTTATTTTTATTTATTTTGGTACTGGGGATCAAACTTGCAACTTTGCGCTTTCGAGGCAGGCGCCAGAACCACTGAGCTAAATCCCTGGCCCCTGCCAATTTATTTTTAATTCTGTTTTGTAAAACAAAATTTAAACTAGAATTCGTTTATTCAATCAGCAAACACATGACGTTCACTCTGCACATGCCAGAGATTTCACAGGATGCTGGAGAACTAAGGAGGGGGCTGAATGGAAGCACAGAACTGTGGCGGGGCGGGGGGGGGGGGGGGGACGACAAGTACAGAAAGCCTTTGCTGTGGCTTTTGAGCATGTGTCTTTGGGCAGACTCCTTAGCTATTTATTCTGCAGTTTTCCTGTTTATGAAGAGACGCAGTACTGGAGACTAAGTAGGCACAGGGTCCTTGTGCTTCGTGGGGGACTGGGGCTGGACAGTCTAGAGGATAGCACCTTGGTGTTCCGAACTGGGCCGAGCAGATCTGGGGAAGTCTCCCATGGTGACCTGGCCGCCTGTGAAAGGCTCCAACAGGGCTCCCACCGCTGCCAGGCTGCCAGCTCCCGGCCAACTCTCCACCACTTGCTCCCAAGGGCTGGGACCTTGAATTGAAGCCCTCTCCGGTCCCACCCTTCCTGCGCCCCTTTAAGATGAGAATGCTCTATTTTTTACTGGAGTAAATACAACTCCGGATGGGAAGCACTGAGACAGAGAAGAACCCTAGCTTGCGCCTGTTTCTCCAGCGTCCATTCCAGTATCTGTCCCCCAGAATCCTCCCAATCCAGTGCCTTCTGCTTCCCACTGCTGTCTTGGAATAGGGCTGCTTGTCCCCATCTAATTTTACATATGGATTCTGTTTTGGGGGAGCAGCTCATAAGTTTGATACTGGCTTTTTAAAATGCAGCTTGGATGTGGTCAATGGTTTTCAAAAGGAGGGAGACTATCCCTTCCTTCTTTGAGCTTCCTGCCTGTGTGGAATGATTGTTTACTAGCACCCAACAGTTGCCAAGTGCTGAGAGAGATGTGACCCCAGCCCTCCTGAGGCTCACAGAGCAGGAGACCTGCATAGGCTCTCTTACCCAAACTGTGCACCCAGTGCCTTCCAGTAATCATGGTTGCTGTCTTCCCCCACCCCAGGCTCTTTAAATAACTTTTGACAAGATCGTAAACCCTAGGGGGTGCCAGGTGGTACACAGCACAAACCCAGTAAATGTAGGATGGACTTATTCATCCCTATGTTGAAGCCAGCCCTTTTCCAATGACCATGAACACCACTGGTAGTGAGCCCTGCCCAGTCCCCAAGGGGCCCTAGACCTTTATTATTTTTAGCTTTGGGGTTTTTTGAGACAGGGTCTTGCAATGTCGTTCAGGTTGGCTGTGACCTCACTGTGTAGCCCAAGGTGGCCTGGAATTCATGGTGATCCTCCTACCTCAGCCTCTTGAGTGCTGGGACAACAGACATGTAACCCGTATTATTACAGTCATGAGACTGGAATTTGTCTCTCCCCGTTGTTACCAATACCAGGTATAATTCAGATCCGTCCCTGGGGTAGGCCAGCCGCTCCAAACTCCAAGCAGTCACTGGGGCCCAGCAGGCGCCTGACTTGCTGACTTGGTATTTGCATGAAGAGGTGCAGTGCGGGGAGATTCAGAGGACCCTATGTGCTATGCAGCTCCACACCTGTCTTCCTTTCCAGTCACCTGTGGCCCCACGCACGCGCGCACACACACACACACACACACACACACACACACACGCCGTCCTCGACACACAGGAGCTTCTGCGGGTGGATTCTCAGACACTGAGAATTTGCCCCAATAAGCCTCTCTTCTCCACTCCTGGTTCTGCCAGTGTCCCTGTCCCCTTTCCAGATTTAGCCCCGCTGCAGGTGGCCCTCTCCGGACCCATCCTCCAGGAAAGGCTTGCGCTTCCCTGTGTGTCCAGCGCGATGACCTCAGAGGCTCAGGACTGAGGCTTCTGCCCCATGCCTTGAGGCTCCGCAGACGCGATCAGGCCCCGCGGACACCCTGGGAGGACTGCCCGCCAGCCGCGTCTCCCCCGAGCGCCATCCAGCGGCGACGCGGCGAGGACAAGGTCCGCAGAGCTCCAGCGCGCCTGTCCCGGAGCGAAGGGCGCAGGTTTCCAAGGGGCGGCGGTGCCTGCCCCCACCCCAACCCCATCAGGGCGCCTCCATCTCTGCCCCTCCTCACCTGCCCCCCTCTCTGCTTAAGACAGATTCGGGGTCACTTAGCGTTCAAGTCCCCCCTTTTATTTATGCACAACATCTGCACTGGACAGGCCAAGCTGAAAAGGAGGGAGAAGAAAGGGGTTTGCGCCACCACCGCCTGGAAACTTCCCCGTAGGCGGCGGCCCCGAAGGTTCGGCCAGGGCTGGGTCACGTTTGCGTCTCCCTGCGCTGGGGACATGTTAGTTCCTGCCTTTTTAATTCGACATCTATGACCTTATCCTGGCTAGAGTCAGGCGCCTTGACCCCCTGCCCTTGCAGGCACCGCGGGCTGGCCAACTTCCTCCCCGGCTCGTCGGGTGGTGGGTGTCAGGCCCCGTGCCGCTGGGAGTGGCAACTCCACCGCGCACGGAGTCCTAAAAGCAAAGAGAGGGTAAATGCCATTCTTCAGACACCCGGAATGTTATCGCTAATTTTTTGGAAAAGTGCCTGTGTACACACATATTATATATATTATTGAGCGGGTTAGTGGGAGACTGAAAACATCGAACAACAGTGAGGAGGGGGCCTATTCTCCAATTCCTTGGTAATTTGTAACAGACAGACTTTATTGCTCCGAGGAAAAAGGGGTAACTGCGCAGCTGCAAAATAAATTTACCTCTGTCGGTATCGATCAAATAGGAGTCTGCCCGTGGGGTGTGAGCGCGATGCATCTTTAAATCTGAGATTTAATTTCATATGCTGGGCTACTTGGAATGTCCATATGTACACACTTGTACCCACAAAGAACATTTTAGAAGCACGCGCGCAGATTCTTTTACATTTAAATAATGCAATGGAATAGAAGCTTAAAGTTGCAACAGTGCACGGCTCAGTGAGCTCGCCAAACACAGGGAGGTCGGAGCCGAGGCTCCGGAAGGGGTCGGCTCTCCGGGAGCTCTAGGTCACCTCTCCTCGGTCCGGACTGGAACAGGGCTCCGGACAACGCAGCCCAGGGGAATTCCTTTGGCCCCATAACCCTCTCCCACCCTATATCTACCTCTCAGAAACTGCATAATTCAATCCCAACTCCCTGTTGCATAAAATATTGTGGCTATCTCTCAAACAAATCATAACCTACAGTAAAAAGGCCTTTCCCCGACTCCAGCAATTCTAAGTTCTAGATGGAGACGCCTGCTCGGATCGCTCACGGCTTTAACAGGCGAGCAAAAACGTGAGGGCCCTAACTGCGGCGCGGCCCTCCCCCTCTTCTTTCCCCCCGCTGTGGTCGTAGGAGGTGAGGAGGGGAGGGTGGGAGGCAAGCTCGCTTGGAACGGGGCGGGGCGGAGGGAAAAAAGAGAAAAAGAAAGAGGCATTATTTACACCTGCAAAGTTGGGGTACCCGTCTTCGGCCCCCATTGGCTTAATTGTAAATCTTTTCCGCATGGCCCCGACTCCGGACGGCGTCTGGGTTTAATAACGCTCCCCGCATCCCAGCGGGGCAGAAAAGAGAGAACCCTGGCCCCACCCCCACCGGCTCGGAGGTAATTAGAGCCCCCCCACCCCCACCACGCGCGAGGTACTGGGAGACCAGACTCCTCAGACATGTGGGGAACTCATATTTTCCCGTCCAAAGACAAGAAGAGCGGTTTCCATAGCCAGTGTCCCCTCCTCCCGCCCCTGCGCCCCGGATCGCGGGCAGGAGCGGTGTCTACCCTGCAGGTGGAGATGCGCTCCACGGCGCGCAGCCGAGGCCTGACCTGAGTGTGGAAGCGGCTGCTAGGAAAACGTGTAAAAACACAGCCCGGCTGGTGGGAGAGGAGCTCGCGCTGCCCCTCCCCGCGCACGGGAGCTCGCCCCCCTGCGCCCGGGTCTCCTAGGCTTGTTTCCTGCCTGGAGCCCCTCAAGGCGATTAATTGCTTTGCAACGCTTTGCGAGACAGATCCGCTTCTGGGCCTCCCGGACCGCTCTCATTTGGGGGAACCCTTTCCCCGAGGTCTTTACCCCCCACCCCCACCCCGTTTATTCTTTGCCTGCGGAGGACGGCGCGAGGTGGAAATCAATGCCGGGGGACGTCGGCCCTCGGGGAGGAAGGGGAAGGGGAGCAGTTGCTCACCGAATCCCCGAAATCTGGGTTTTCGTTCTCAGAGAGAAAGGACCCACGCCTGGCGGACTGGGCGCCGCGCTCCCCGCCCGTGCGCCCCGGCGCCTCGCTTCGCCCCGCCCCGGGAGCTGCACGCCGGGCAGGTAGCAGCTGGGTTCCCTGCCGGGCCGCGCCTCGCTGGGTCTCCGGGGCGACCAAGGACCCGGAAAGACCAGCCGATCCGAGGCCCTTTTGCTCCCCTGCGAGCTAGTGCGGCGTTGGGGCGAGATCTGAGCCCTGTCCTCACGCGCCCTGGGGTGCCAGAGTGGCCGGAGGGAGGGAGAGAGGGAGAGGGGCCAGCGGGCGTCTTTTCGGGCTCTGCGCTCTCTCAGAGAGGCCTGGAGGTCAGGCTTCCCTATCTGGACTGGGGTAAAGGAGGAGATGGTAAGTGTAGCCCCCCATCAGAAGCGATCGCCCCAAGGATCTTTAGGGGCGTTCTGGGGTGACTCTCACCCCCAACTCCTTCCAGGGCCCACAGCAGACTGTGTTGCCCAAAGGAGAGCAGGAAAGGCGCTGCGAGGGCCGGCGAGGGCGCTCCTGGTCCGCAGGCCGTTCCTCTCCGCCTGCGGGAAGGAGTTTGAGTATTTGGCTTGGAAATGAAATGAATCCATCGAGGCCTAGGTGCTAGCAAAAGCAAGCCTTAGGAGAAGCGTTCTCACAATTCCAAACATTCTGTCATGTTGATTTACCTCCTTTTTTCTCTTTCCTCTAAAACATGAGGGAAAAAGCAATGAAAAACTTCTTGACCCCCGTGCATTTAAACTCCAGGGTGGAGACCTTTAAGGGCCTCTTGGACGTCTCGGGCCACCAACTTCAGCTCAGCCTGGGACTGGGAGACGCAAGAGGGCATTGATCACCTGCTAGGTATTCTACAAACCTTGGGACAAATAAAATATGCAGGACTGGGCTCCGTTGAAATAAAGGCACATCGCTGAGACCTCCAGTTCCCCCTGAGGCAGGAGCTGTCCAGGTTGTTAGGGAGCTAAACCCAGAACAAAGGTGCAGTTACACCTCAGCCCAGTTAGTTACCTGGGTAGCAGCTGTGGTACAGGCTCTGTAAAATGATAGATGGCGGAGGGGGAGGAGCTGGAGCTGGGTTCCCGGTTTGTGCACAGCAAGTACAGTATGTCTGGAAAGTTTGTCTGGCTGTGGGACACTGCTCAGTGGCAGGCCAGGCCTGGAGTCCAGATCCAGAAACCCCGACCCATGTGCTGGCCTTGGTAGCAGTTTTCCAGCTCTCTCTACCTGCCAGGCACACCAGCAAGGCAGGACCCCCGCCCTGAGTCCTAGGCCTGCAGCGGGATAACCTGGAGAAACCCAGTTTTTACACAGGTGCTCATGGAGGGAAGGTGTGATCAGTTTTCAGGACAATGGTGAAATCTAGAACACTTGGAGTACTCACACCTCTCAAATTCCGGTGTCCACTTGGAAGGGGAAGCCCTCTCTAAAGCCTTGGCACCTTTGGGGACAGCTACATATGTTGGGGGCTTTACTTCCCTCTCTCCTCATCCTAACCAGTGTGGGGAGATAGCAAATCCTCCTCTACCTCTGGGGACACAGCAAGCTGGGAATGGAAAAGAGGGAGAGGAAGAAAACACACGAACAACTTTGGTGCCTACTCCTCCCTTTCATCCGACCCCTGTTTGGAAACGAATGAAGCAACACCCACCAGTGGACTTCCAGGTCTGGCCCTGTTTAATTGAAACCCAGTACTGGAAATAGTAATGGATATTATGCTCAAATTGAGAAAACGTGTCCGAGGCTAGCAGGGGGCAGTTAGTTCAGCCCATTTGGAGTAGCCTATCTTTCTTTGGCCTGTCAACCTGCCTGACAGTAGTGGCCACTGAATTTGCCATGCCTTCTCACTTACAGACCTGCCTGTCCCCTCTGCTCCATCTGCCCCCAGGGGATGAGACCCCCGTGTCCCCACTCCCGGGGCACCAGCAGCACCAGTACCAATGGGAAGAATCAAACAACAGCAAACCACTGACTATAATTCCTCCAGCCTAAATGTCTCCCACTGCACGTAAGGCCTGGGGAATGCTTTGCTCTCTATCTTTTTCTCCCATCCCTCAAAGTATTTTCTCCCCTAGCTCCACACCCCACAAGCCCAAATCAGGGCACCAGTCACCCAGAGGCCACTGACATGCTTACCGGTCTTGGCTGAAAATCTGGAAAGATGGAATTGAAGAAAGAAAGGTATGGGGTAGTCAAAATGCCTGGGGCAAAAGTCAGCTCTGGCCAGCACGGGCTGATTCCGGGTCAGATAAAAGGAGAGGAAAAATTCCCAGCCCCTTCCTTGTGAATTCATTTCTACTGGACTAAGTAATTCCCAGTGCATTCTCTTTTTTCCCCCCTTTTTTGGTAATTGGGTAAAACACACATGCACAAAGAGGGCATTGAGACTGGAGATTGGCTTGAAATTAGGAAACCACAATTAGTTCCTTTTCCAGAGTGAGGAAAAACCCTTCATAGATGTGTAAAAAGCACCCTCCCCAGACACACACACACTTCTTCATCCTTCCCTCTTCCGTTTCCTCTCCAATTCATCTCAATCACTAGCTGTGTACACATTTGCCATTTTGCAAGGTGCTCCGCTTTGATGAAAGGTGGGTGCTAATACGACTAATACGGAGGGTGCAATCTTTTCATTTAGCCCCTGCCAACAGCATATTTAGCTTAAAAAGAGGTAAGATAAGCATGGATTAAGTGCATAAGGAATGATGCCCTAGAAATGGTATAAACCAACTGGCGCCAAAGTTGAGTCTCTGCAGTAAAAATACGGCTTCTCCCAGCTGGACAACTTCGACAGTCCTCCCTGTGCACACACGCTTCAGTCTCCTGCACTGAATTCCCCTGATCAATAATTTAGAAGGGTGTCAGGGGACAGGAAAATATGCCATAAAGGACAGCTCTGAGCTGTTGGAGCCAGGCAGAGGCTAGGAGCTGGGGCGCTGGAGCCTCTGGACTTAGGCTCCCGGACCTGCAAAGTGGGGAGGGGTCTCGGAAGAAAAGGAGCAGGGACGGGCCAACTGGGGGGGGGGGCAACAGGAGGAGATAGAGGTGACTCCGAGAGCAGAGAGAAGGGAAACTTCCAAGCTAGACAAGGGGGCCAAATCATTCTGTCGCTGATGACAAGGTACCTCTCTCCAAGCAAGGCAGGGAGGGAAGTACTATCTTCAGGCTGTCAAGGTTAGTGGGAAAGAGGAGGGAAGAAGGGAGACAGACACCCCAGCTGGAAAGGCAGGAGCGAATGCAGAAGGAACCAAGAGAGCCAGAGCAGAGAGAGAGGATGAAAGACTGGAGAAGAGAGCAAATAAAAGAGAAGTTATGGCCGTGGGACAGACAGACAAGAAGGAGAAACACAAACCAAACAAGAGAGGTGTGAAGGAGAGAAGGAAAGTAAAAGGAAATAGAAAGAAAGGTCACACCCTTATGTTCAAGAATCTTGAAGGAGAAACAAGAAAACAAAAAGGGAAAGAGGAGGGTGAGGAGGACTTGTCCTGTTTGTCCATCCAAGAGGCTTATGCCTGTCCTGAACAGAAGGAAGGCGGCTCCCTCAAAGCCACCAGCCGCCTCACCCGAGACAAGCGAAGCTCTCAGAGCAAGAGGTGGGGAAGACTCCCGAGTTCTAGTCTCCAAAAGGAAAATCAGTCCCCTGGGTTTGTGCAGGGGTCTGGTACTGGGTTCAAAACTTCACACTGGCAAGTCAGAATCCAGGTCACCCAGCAGTGTGTACACAGGAAGGATGGCGGGGTGCTAGTAGCAACTCGGAGGAATCTTCAGCATCAACTAGGCGTTCCAGAGGGAGCTGTTTCTCAGGGATCCCCAATAAGAAAGTCACATCCCCAGCTGGGCAAATCAAGCTAGAAAGAGGTTGCAGGCACGCAGGCTGTGGGCCAGGGGCACAGGGTGTTTGTTCTCATCCCTATCAGAAGGCCTGAGATCCCAGGATCCAGTGGACCGAACAGACGGCTTCCACACTGTCCACCCAGAGCCCCCCTCCCCAGGAAAAGCTGACACTTTGGCCCCCCTCCCTCCAGTTCTTTAATTAGGCCTCAGACCCCAGGAGAAACGCCGGTGCCCTTCTGTCAACAGATTTCCCAACGCAGTAAGCGACACCTCGCCCTGGAAAAAGCTCGGCACAAAGCGGGGTGAAAGTTGAAGAGGGAATGAGCTTGTAATAGTGCCTCGCCAGACCTCACACATGCTGAAGGATATTTACAGCAAACGTGCCAAAGTAAACTACCCCGCCTACCCACCACCATGCCCCCTCCTCGCCTCTTTTTTTTTTTTAAACTTCAGATAAATACCTTTCGGTCACAAAGGGGTCGATGTGTCCCCTTCCTGGTTTAAGGCAGGCGGTCCCATAAAATTTCAAGCCTACCATTAAGTAAAATCTTTTTTTTTTTTTTTGCAAAAAGTAAAGGAAATTTTTGGGGTTCTTTCCGACCTAGATCATGGGCTCCTTTCTTCCCTCCTCTCCCCCCGAAGGCACACTCTTCTTTGGACTCTGTGGAGCGAAGGCTCAAAGTTTCTTGGGTATCTTTTGTGGAGCCTGAGGCCAAGGGAAAGAAGATCGAGGGTTCTAAAAAGAGAGAGAGGAAAAAGAAAAAAAGACCGGCGCGCGGAGCCTAAAGCCGCAGCTCGCGGGCTCCGCCGGAGGCCGGGCCCGGCACCAGCCTCAGGAACGCGATGGCCAATATTTAACCCGAATGCCGTGGCCACCAGGCCGCTTTTGTTTGTTCGCAAATTAATCACCCAGCGCACGGCCGGCGCCAGGGTGGGTTTATCGCCCACCGGGAGGGGGGCTCGGCGGGTACGCAGAGACAAAGAGGAGTTCGCACCTTCCCGCTTTTGATCCCAGAATTACGGCGGCCTCCCTGCATAATACGAGCCTCCTGGGGCCGAGTCTGGGAGGTCAGTCATAATTGGCGGAAGTTTGCACACCATTAGCAAGATGTCGACATTTTCGACTCGGAACCCCGCAAACTGGCCTCTCCCCACCCCCACTCCCCTGCGCGCTGGAGTGGGGGTGGGGGCCAGAAGCGGGGAGCTGGGATGACCCCAGGGTTAAGTTAGAGCCACAGACAAAAGTGGGCGACTGGGGAAGCGCTCTGGTCCACGTTGGAGCCAAAAGCAAGTGGAGATATTTACAAGTAAAATCAGAAAGCCCTTCTCCCATTTTCAAAGGACTAGGGAGGCCAGACTGCAGACTGCAGACTGCAGAGAACGGCCGTCTCGTCCCGCACGCAGGCCCCCGGGGCATCGAGTAGGTGAGGAGGGGCCAGTCCTGATGCGATTGCAGAATTCCTTGCCTTCCACGGGGCGCAGCGGGCAGATTGGCCGGCGAGTGCGGACACAACCAGCAGATCACGGGGATTTGGAGCCGATCAGGGTAGCGCAGCCAGAGGCCCCAGGCCCAGCGGCGGCGGCGGCGGCGGCGGCGGCGGCGAGCACTGTGGGCCGCGGGCTCTTTGGCCCTCCAGGGACTCGACTCGCCGAGGCCCGCAGGGACCCCGCCGCCCGCGAGAGGAGGACGCGGCCTGGTCCCCGGCACCCTTCAGCATGGAGACACGCAGGGCCGGGAGGCAGCACTCTGGGCCTCCCCGCCTCTTTCTTCTCTCTCCCCCTTTCTCTTTTCGCAACCACAGGCAGAGAGAGGCCCCAGAGGACAGACCCAAAGGGAATGAAAGGGGAGAGGTGACCGACCAGACCAACTTCTCAGAGCCACGCTGTTCTCCTGGTGACTTCAGGGAGTTTTCGGGCGGGCGCTCTTAACCATGTGTGTCAAAAATGCGAGGCTGGAAAGGCTTTGTCGCCTCAAAAGTTCCTCCTCTATCTCGGGACAGTTGGCTCAAAACTGCACCTCCTCGTTACCCAACAATAGCCACCACTTTGGTCCCGCGGCAGGCGGTTGGGGGCCACCCGAGGCAAAATGCTTCTGAGGACAGTGCCGATCTGCAGACGCAGGCATCCCACATCCGGGGGTCTCAGCCCCTAGGCCCGGAGCGCAGCCCTTTCTCCGGCCCCTTTCCACTCCAATAGGCTCACCTATCAGCGAGAGTTACAAGCACTGACCCCCCAAGGTCTCCCCTCCATCTAAACCGGGCGGCCTGACTCGTCGCTCCAGCCCCCACCCCAGAAGCGAGATCTTGGGTTTGGGGGAAGCCTCCGACTGGGTGGGTAGGGGCTGCAGTAACGAGGTCATCAGTTCCAGGGACAGGTCTGATCGGAGAGGTCGAGAGGCCTCCCTCCCCTCCGCCCAGGGTGGAGGCCCCCACCCTACCTGAGCTGGAACCATTGCCTTTGCCTCTGGGGTGGGGGCGTTTCACGGTTTGTTTTACAAATTCACCCCCGACTTCTGGCGAGATAAGGGCCCGGGTGGAGAAAGAACTGAGGCTCCGAAAGATAAGTGCGATGCCTGCAGGAGATACAGGCTGCCGTCCCCTCCCCCAGCGCGCCCTCCCCTCGCCCGCAGCGCCACACCGTGCCGCCCCGAGGTGAAGGCAGTGGCGTGGAATGGACAGGCCAGGACCTCGTCGGCCGCTGCAATCACTTTGTGCAGAGCCTCCATTCTCCCCTCTGCACCCTCAGAGACATCCGGGTGGAATACCGGGAGCCCGCATCCACACGAAAGATGAGATATAAAAGGGTTGGTAAATGCCTTTCAAAATATCCCGAGTCCATCTCCCACAGGGATCGCAGACAGGGCCCGGCGCGAGGGCTGTGTACGTATTTGCTTGTACTTGAGGCTCGCCCCCAGTGTGTGGCGCGCGTTCGGGTACAGCGCACTGGGGGATTTGGGGTCCCCGCACCTGGCTACGGGTGGGCACGGTGGAGAGGGGAGAGCACCCCGGGTGCTGAGCCCTGGCCGCATCGGTGCGCTCGTGTTTCCGCCGGCCCAGCTGCAGGGGAGAACCGCAGCGAGGCGCACGAGCCCGGAGATCTTTACTTAGCCGCGGCCGGGCGGAGCTCGGCTCCACGTGGGGCTGGGGAGCGGCTCGAGCCTCCGAGTCCCCGCGGCTGCCGGCTTCCGCGGCTCTCGGCAGCGGAATGGCAGCTCGCCGGACGCTCAGCCGCCCGATCGGCTCGCCGGGGGTCGACGAGGAGGAGAGGCCGAGCTGCCGAGAAGCAGCCGCGGCTCGGCTCAGCGCGGAGCCCAGCGCACAAGAGGCGAGCGCCCCTGCCCGGCGCCCCGGGCCGCAGGCTGGCTCCCTCCTTCCCTCCTCCCTCTCCCCCCCCCTTCCTCTTCTTGGTCCTGCCTCCTCCTCCCTCGATCCGGGCTGGGTGACTGAGGCATTTCAGACGTGGGCCGAGCGAGAGCGAGAGCGAGCGAGGAGCTCACGGGCTCCGGCGATCTCTCGATAAGCCACCTAGAGGCGACTCTGCGCGCGCTCCCCGGTGGCTCCCGCCCTCCCTCGGATCATGTTGACATATTCACAGGACGGGCAGTAGTACCGCTGCGGCGCTGCGACGTTACAGTTTCCGACACCTTCTTTTTATAACTCGGCTCTATCCCCCAGCACTCGACCTGTGATAACCACGCCTATGCAGCCACACAATTGGTCCGAAAGCGTCAAAGAGCCAATCAAGAGGCCTCCGGCTCCCCGCAGCCCACAGCGCAGCCCGACCTTCTAGAGCCGCCGAGCAGACGCCGGGGGAATTCTAGAGGCGGAGGAGGGTGGCGAGCAGCTCGCTCTCGCCTCTCCGCGCCCTCCCTCGCGCCCGCCCTCTCCTCGCCGGCGCCGGCTCCCTCTGTCTCCCTCTGCTTCTCCTCTCTCCCTCCTAAGCGTTTCTCCCCTCTCGATCCTCCCTGCCCTGCGCGCCCGGACGCGGATTTCCGAAGCGAATTCGCTCACGGTTTCAGACCAGGCAGAGAGCGAGGAGACCCGGCAGAGGCGCACTGCGAGATTGGGACTGAAACAGAGACCCCCTCTCCGCAGCTCGGAGCGGAGGAAGGAGGAGGAGGGCGGACGGAAGCCAGTTTGCATGCAGTTCAAGTTTTGATAGCGCTGGTTGGAAGGGGCTTAAATCCGCTTGTGTTTTTTTTTTTTTTTTTTTTTAAAGGAGAGAGATTTTCTGCTCTCTTGCTCCCCGGGTAAAGCCGAGTCCAGCGCATTTGCAGACGCCTCCAGCGAGAAAGGGAGAGGAAGAGATAAGGGGGCGGGGGAAGAAAAAGAAGAAGAAGGAAAGGTAAAAAGTCTTCCAGGAGAACCGTTCGCGTGTGCAACAAAGACCTTGGGGGCTGGGGAGCGATCCGGGGACCGAGGGCTGCAGTGTCCGCCCCGAGCTCAGCGGCAGGGCTCCGGCGCGAGCTTCCGAAAGCGACTTCCACGGGCGGCTCTAAACACGCCAGCACCGCGACAGCCTCCCGGCCACTATGTCTCCTGATTTGTCGCCTTGCCCTCTTTAGAAGCGGCAGTCCCCCTCCCCGAAAGACACTATCCTCCTTTCTTCTAAAGCCCTTTAGTTATTTCTTCCTCTTTTTGTTTTGTTTTGGGGTTTTTTCTCTTAAAAAAAAAAACTATGCGCTGCTGCTGAACAACAACAACAAAAAACAGAAACAAAAGCAAAAACGAGACAACAGCTGCGGACTTGTGCCTGCCTGGAGTGCATGAGCCTCTCCATGAGAGATCCGGTCATTCCTGGGACGAGCATGGCCTACCATCCGTTCCTACCCCACCGGGCGCCGGACTTCGCCATGAGCGCGGTGCTGGGCCACCAGCCTCCCTTCTTCCCCGCGCTGACGCTGCCTCCCAACGGCGCCACAGCGCTGTCGCTGCCCGGCGCCCTGGCCAAGCCGATCATGGATCAATTGGTGGGGGCGGCCGAGACCGGCATTCCTTTCTCGCCCCTGGGGCCCCAGGCGCCTCTGAGGCCTCTGAAGGCCATGGAGCCTGAAGAAGAGGTGGAGGATGACCCCAAGGTGCACCTGGAGGCCAAGGAACTTTGGGACCAGTTCCACAAGCGGGGCACCGAGATGGTCATTACCAAGTCCGGCAGGTAAGCCCGCTGGAGCCCCCTCCCCCAGCTCGCTGAGGACCCTCTTCGCCTCAGTCTTCCCCGAGCTGCTGCCTTGCCAGTTGTTAAAGCTTGGGCGAAAACTTAGTTGCCCTGAAAATGTGTGCAGACTCCCGGGCCCTGCCGCAGCCACAGGAAATTTCAGCTTACCTGGGCCGCCTGCGTGGCTCTTACCTAGCTCTGCATCCTGGGTTCCCCACGGAGCAGATGGGGTTTTTCAGAGGAGCCCCACATGTCCTTTTAGGAAGCAGGAAAACGGGCCCCCCACCCCAATTGCAGGAAGTTCCCTCTTCAAACCTCCCTGGAACATTCTTATTTCTGTGGGGTTTTTTCTTCTTATCAGTTTTTATTTTCCTCTCAAGGAGAAAAACCGAGATCTCTTTCTTTTGTGTGGTAGTGGGAGGCCTGATAGCATTCCCCGCCCTTCTGCCCTTTAGTCTGGCCTCTGGCTCTGGAGGGGACCTGAGCCGCTCTACCAGGGTCACAGAAATGGAAGGGCTTGAGGTTTGTTCGACCACACAACTTCTCGTGTTTGTAACTCGAGGGGGAACTCAGCAGGCAATTTTGGATAATTAAGATTCTCTTTGCAGACCCAAGAAACCAGTTAGGCTTTGTGCACTGCTTTGTGTGTGAATAGTATAAATCATATTTTACACACTATTTAGAGGTCCTTGCTTGACCCTAACTTGCCTGGAAGACAGGAACCCAGGACAGTCATTTAGAATCACTGACTTTTTTTTTTTTAATAGCATCGAGGTCTAACAAGGCATCAAGTTGAAAGGATAAAAATAAAGTTCCCCTCTTGATGTCTTCAGCTTTCTTCTCTCCTTCCAAGCTAAATGAGGCCAAAGTTTGGCATAAACTCCTCCGCCACCCCACAAGATGTTTAGTCAGTTTTCACAGCGAAGTGCTTCCTTTTAAGTCAAAAGCACAGAGTGCCAGCGCTCCTGTGAAAGTCAACAGCAGTTTGGTGGCATGCTCGTGCAGCTCGGGGTTGGCCTGGGGAATGGGGATGTGGCCTGTAAGTCAGGGGCGCTGGGGCTGTCCGGCCAAGTCCACCCCACCCCTCTCGCCCTGAGGACTCCCGCAGGTCCACCTCCATTTCGCCAGCAGCGGGATTACTGCTTGGCAGCAGGAGGGAGTGCGATTTTGGATGTTTAATTCCTTGATAAGTTTAACATTTTCTCATCAGTGGGTGATAGAAAATCCTCACCCTGACTCCTCCGAACTGTGCTGAAGTCTCACTCAAAGCTATTCAGAACTACAGACAGACAAGAATTTCTCTGAGAGGGCAATCTGTACTATCTCACAAAGCATAAAAATTAAACAAGTCTTTAGACAGTCTAGAGAAACGCAGTGTCATAATTATTTGTTTTGAATCTTGGGATACCTTAACAGAAAGGAATTGGTGATTTTTAAGGCTGTGTGGAAGGAAATAGTTTTGCACCCAGTTGCCCTACTCTGACAAAATACAACCTCATCAGTCTCAAGATAAAGTATTAAACTTTGTTTAATTATTTTAGAGTAGGTAAGAAGTCAAACTCAAGATTCTGAGGGATTTCTTTTTTCTCTTTTTCTTTTCTATTCTTTCCTGTTGTAGGCGAATGTTCCCTCCATTTAAAGTAAGATGCTCTGGGCTGGATAAAAAGGCCAAATATATTTTACTGATGGACATTATAGCAGCTGACGACTGCCGATATAAGTTTCACAATTCCCGGTGGATGGTGGCGGGTAAGGCTGACCCTGAAATGCCAAAGAGAATGTATATTCATCCGGACAGCCCCGCTACCGGGGAGCAGTGGATGTCTAAAGTCGTCACGTTCCACAAACTGAAACTCACCAACAACATTTCCGACAAACACGGATTTGTAAGTTTCATTGCGTTCTCTCCGTCTTCAGTCAAAATTTCTTTCTCGACTCTCTCCCAGCCATGTGACCCCATTGCTTGTGTACTCCCCGGGTTGCAGCAATGAGTGTTCCCCTGCTTGCTGTTGCTAAACATAGCAAACTTGTTCGGTTTGCCACAGAGGTGGAGAGAGGGATTCCCGGGTGTTTTCTCTCGGGGATGAGAGGCCTGGCTTTCTTAAAGAAATGGGGCCAGGAAAATATACCAGGTCATGTTCTAGAGCAATTCTAGGTCCTTGGTAGATACCGGACCTGGCCGATGTTGGAAAAAAAAATAATTGAGAGGTAAAATTGATTTTAAAGCTATGTGTTTGTAAAGGCTTTGTTTTGTTTTAAAACAGTTCTCTTTGAAGCCTGCCGTATTATTTCTTGGGGGAGCTGAAGTTTTCAAAGCCTTGGCCATATTGATGAAAGGGTAGAAATGCCTTTTTGAAATTTTCTTTTACTAAAAGAGAATGGGGCTTGGTTGAGCTTAATTAGAAATGAGGCATGTATCTTTGGTGTTAAAAATGGTGTACGTGTTAGGATTGTATCCATGGATTCAGTGTGAGAATGCCTAGAACTCTCAGAAGACTTCGGTTGCTAGTAAAAGTCAGGCAAAGGACCTTTTGCCCGATCCCTTACCCCTCCCCAACGCTTCAATAAAGTAAACAAAGTGATAAGCAAGGAATAAGCAGAAAGATTAGGCCCAGGAAGACGTGAATTGCGCGGAAATATCTTCAGCGGGCAGGAATTGCATTTGAAGTCCTTGATTTGATTAGAGCATACATATTCCTCTCTAGAGTTCAGCCTTTCTGGGCTATAAGTGGATTGGGCTTGTCAATTAGTGGGCGCTTAAAGTGCTGAATCATTTGTAAATTAAAATGCATGTTTTTCTCTATCTTTTAAGAATTGGCCAAGTGATCACGCAGCGTGGCAGGGGAATTATAGTTTTGGGACTCAGGTAGGCTAGGGTTTGAGATACGAATGAACCTCTTAGACGGTGGGGGGGGGCACCCTTGGGAAATTGAGGAGCGCTCTGGATTCCCTAGGAGATAACATCTACTAAGCAAATTGTACCCAATGAGTTACCCCTAGGAGGTGGGCCTGGTCCAGCTTGGGACCCTGCGGTGGGGATGATGTCAGCTCGGCAGGGGTCCTCAGATCCCGTTTGTCCTGCTAAATCCTTTTTCCACGCGTGTTTCCTCTTCACTGCCCCTGCAGACTATATTGAACTCCATGCACAAATACCAGCCCCGCTTCCACATCGTAAGAGCCAACGACATCTTGAAACTCCCTTATAGTACATTTCGGACATACTTATTCCCTGAAACTGAATTCATCGCTGTGACTGCATACCAGAACGATAAGGTAACCACAGGGCCTTTTCTTTTTAATTCCACCGTTTTCCCTGGTCCTTTAAGCTGCTTTGGATCAGGGTGAGAAAGTTGGAATTGGGATGGGAGGCTTGAATTTTCTGTTGTGATTTGACCTTCATTTGGGAAAGTGGCGCTGTCTTCTCCGAGGAGCTAGAAACAAAACCCCCCAACCAGCTAGGAGGAATCCAGCGCTGAGTTTAAAAATGCTGAATTAATTTTGTTAGTGAGAAGCTCATATAGCCTGTGCTGGTGATCCCACTCCAGTACCAGACTCCTGGGGCTTTGTGGTGTTTGTTTCAGCACCCATTCTTTTCTCCTTCTGGAGGAAGGGTCAGGATTGCAGGTTTGAAAGGAACCAGCTAAAAATTTTAGGCAAAAGCCTTTTGGGATCCTGGGAAGAGAATCGCAGTAGAGACGAGCTTTTCTTCCCTAGCCAGAAATCCTGAGTAGCTGGTCTGGTTTTTATTACCCTTTATGATGCTGTTTTTTATGGTGTGTGTGTGTGTGTGCGCGCACGCGCGTGCACCCATGTATGTGTGTATGTGTGTGCATGAGTGTGTGTGTGATGGGGAAAAAAAAAACCTACCCCGATCACAGGGTCACGTTAACCGTGCCATCTGAAGCTTTTGGCTTGACGAGGAAGCTACTTCATGGGAAAGTGTTTCTCCCTTTGGGCCTGAAGCTGGAGATTTCAGGGGCCCCCCGAATGGGGCAGCACCTGGGTTCTTCAAGTTTGGTGGCCGAAGGTCCTAGACACTGAGCACCCCAGCAGGGAAAGCGGCCCTTGCTGGTGATTCACCAGTTCCCAGCTGGGCTCCTCAGTGAGGGACAGCGACAGGGAGGGGAAGGGGCGAGGACTCTGCTCTCTGACTCCCAGAGTCGGGGCCACCTGAACCACACCCTGTCCGATCCCCCACTGCCACTGCCAGGGGGTCCCTGGGGGACCCAGATAAATATTAAATCCTGCGGCATCTGAGTCTCACCATCAGTCCTCCTTGCCAAATGCAAAAGCAGAGTTTTTGCCTCCAGTAACTTCTTTCCAGAACAAGAATCCACGCAAGGGGCCTTTCCCCACCTCTGAATAACTGTATGTATGTAACTTCCCCTTCCCCGAAGGGGAGGGATTTGAAGGGTTGCATACTATGACGAGTTCCTCAGCCTGCAGAATCCTGGCCCCCTCTAGCCTCAGGACCCTGTGAAACTAAATTGTGAATGTAATAATAAAATATAGCATTTCTGATCAGACCAAAAGGCCAAGGGCCCTCTTGGCCTAATGGCAGTGGCAGAATATATAAATGAAAACAAATGTTTCCAGTGGTCATTCAGTGCTTTTAAATCTCTAGTTGCCAATATTGTAATAACCACCACCGCCCTCAGTTCCCCCTAGCCAAAAAAAAAAAAAAATCAAACTCACTCCAGCACAAGGGTAGCGAAACCCCATAAATCATTTTATTAGAACCGTGGAAAAGGTTGGATAGAGCATGCTAGGTGTGTGTGCTGCAGGCCTTTGTGTGTTTGAAGGCAAGAAAGTATTCATGAGTATTTTATAATTAATTGCGATCAATGAAAGCATAATTTCAGATCTACAGGTTGTCTTTCTGGACAACTTTGAGGATGTTTCTATTTCTAAACCCAAGCTGTGTACTTGGAACTCTTTCCTTTGGACAACTTCAGGTCGGGACCCCTGGTCTGGCCTGCTATGGGACATACAAACCCTCATGTATCCCTGTGCCTTCTATTGGCAGTCACATTTCTGGGAGACTGCTGGAGGAATCTTCTTAAAAAACATGCTAGAAAGCGAAGCCAATGTTTCTTTCTTGCTTGTGTCCCCTGCTCTAGATAACGCAGTTAAAAATAGACAACAACCCATTTGCAAAAGGTTTTCGGGACACTGGAAATGGCAGGCGAGAAAAAAGGTGAGTTGAGGCAATTATTCATTTCTGGGACAATTTATGAAACCAATCCTTTCTAGAAATTAACTTTTTAGCAGAGGGAGGCAACCACTCACCCTGGAGTGGGAGGGAAACGATTTACTTCCCTTTTGCTATGCTCTTGCCTATGTACATAGGACTTTTCCTACCTACATCTGTTCCCTCTGAGGAAACTAACCAGACTACGCCATGGTTGTCTCTGGAAGAAAAGTATTAGGGATAACAGATTCCATAGGGATACTTATTAATTCTTAATTAATTTAAATTAATTCTGGGAAGGTTCTAGGAAACCACACCATTCACAAAATGCTTTGGAATTTTTGCAGTCTTGCTTTCCAAACACCAACAGAGTGGGGGCCCCTTGAGAAATCTGGCTCGCTCCCTCCTTCATGGGTTCGCCTATCATTTAGCATTAGGTAGACAGCTGGAGAACTAGGTGAAAGAACCTCTCCCCTCCCCGACCCCTGTGCAAAGATTTTTCTAAAATCCAGAAAGTTACCCCCAATTTTTAACCTATCCCCTTGAGGGGAGGGTGAGAATTAAAAAGTAATTTCTAGCATCTAAATAAATTTGAACTCCAGTTAATGTGTTGGTAAACTGATTAGCGTGGAGTGCACCATGAAATAGCCACTTCCTCTTGACCTTAGCGACTCTCCAGGAGCTGGGCAGGCTGGGACAGGCGGCCCTGTGCTCACGAGGCTGGACACCCAGGTCTTCCCTCTGTGTGACCTGCAGTTGAGCCAGCTCCAGCCAGCTCCAGCCTCTCATTGCTGTTCCAGACAACATTTCACAGCCCCAGCAAAAGCCCCTTCCCAACAACTTGGTCTTGAATAAAGGCAGTCGGAACCTTCCCACCTCCCTCCCTCAGTCCCCCAGGGCCTCACTCTTTGGCTCAGTTAGGGGTCAAGAGTGATACCAGGCCCTCTGTGTCTGCCCTGGCAAGCAGATTTCAGAAAATGAGTGGGGAGCTGTGGCTGCAGCTTTGGAAAGGGCAAGGCGAGCCAAGAGGGGACGGGGTGCCGCACCCCTTAACTCTGGGCCTGGACCTCTGCCGCAGGAAGCAGCTCACCCTGCAGTCCATGCGAGTGTTTGATGAGCGACACAAGAAGGAGAACGGGACCTCAGATGAGTCCTCCAGCGAGCATGCAACCTTCAGCTGCTTTGCCCAGGCCTCTTCGCCGGCAGTGTCCACTGTAGGGACCTCGAACCTCAAAGGTGAGCCTAGCCACCTCCGAGACCACTGGAGCCCAGGTCATCCCAGCCTGGACTTACAGGGGCAGGGGAGGCGCTGAGCAGGACACCGGCCTCTTCTGCCCCTGTAAACAGAGGCCAAGGGTCACATGGGGTGCAGGTGTGTCCTGTCTTCCTAGAGAGCAGGGGAGAGCTCAGGACCCCCCCCATCCTTATTTGTGTGTGTGAGACCTCCTGGCAGGGTTAGTTTTGAAGGGACGCCTAAAGTGTCCCCTCCTGTTCCTCCTCTATTTCCATCTCTATCCCCCTCCCCACCCAAGACCATCTCCACCTGCTGACTTCCCCGGAGGGGTAGGAGGGGATTCTCAAACACCTGGAACAGTGGAGGTGGCAAAGGCACCCACTAGAGAGCCAGGGTTCCCCTTGGAGATGTGTGGGGCCCCGGGTGCTGTTGGGGGGTGGGGCGGGTGGAGGGGCCGTTCCAGCCTCAGTCTGTTCCCTGCTTTGTAGAGCCGGCACCCTTTATTTGGAAAGATACAGTCTTCTGGAAGAAACCTGTTTAGAAGTGAAATAAAATGGAAGCCCTTCTTGCAAAAAAGAGGATCCCCTTTTTCCTTTTTGGTTTTTCTTTTTTCTGCTAGGACACCCACAGAAGCCAAAGATTCTGTGACTGTCCTGGGCTCCTGCCACCCATCTCTTAGGGATGGGAAACCTACTCCAAAGTTCCCCACCCAGAAATCCCCCTTGCCCCTGGAGCGTGGGCGTGGGAGAGGGGTGTTTGCTTCTGCCCCAGCCAATGCAGATGTGGGGAGTTCTTTGCTAGCAAACCCTTCCAGAAAAACCCACAAATGGGTGGGAGGTGCTGATCTGGACCATACACTGAAGAAAGACTGATGGTACCTGGAATGTGTCCCACAGAGATCTTTAAAGCAACTTGCAGCAGAAACCTTTAAGGTGTTTTTATTTTTAAAAAGTTAATTTGCAATCAAATAGGTAAAGCCTCCCCTCCACCCAGCAGGAGCTCAATGGATGCTTGTTTTAAGAAAGAGTAAGATATTATAATAAGAAGAGCCACCACTTTGCAGGTCCTCTGGGAGAAGGAGAGAGGTTAAGTTGGGGGAGAATGCTTTGAATTCTTGAGGAATTTGCTGGATCCCCCAGCAAAGGTGCTGTCCTTAGGGCCATTCTGCAGATGGGAAAACTGAGGCGGAGAAATTTGAGCGGCTCCCCCAGGTTGGGTTGTGCAGCCAATAGGAGGTCGAGCTGGGGTCCCACGTGGGAGCCACTCCGGGTGGCCCAGGCCAGGCTAACCCTTCCTCCCGGGCTTCTAGACCTGTGTCCCAGCGAAGCCGAGAGCGACACGGAGGCCGAGAGCAAGGAGGAGCACGTCCACGAGGCCTGCGACGCGGCCAAGATCTCCACCACCACGTCGGAGGAGCCGAGCCGCGACAAGGGCAGCCCGGCCGTCCTCAAGCCGCACCTCTTCGGGGCCGAGCCCAGCGGCCGCGCCCGGGACAACGCTCGAGCGGACAAGGCGTCCCCGGACTCGCGCCACAGCCCGGCCACCATCTCGTCCAGCACCCGCGGCCCGGGCGCCGAGGAGCGCAGGAGCCCGGGGCGCGAGGGCGCGGCGGTGGCCAAGGCCGAGGAGGCGCGCGCGCTGCCCGGCAAGGAGGCCTTCGCGCCCCTGTCCGTGCACTCGGACGCGGCCGCCGCGCACCTGCAGGGCCCGCTGCCCGGCCTCGGCTTCGCCCCGGGCCTGGCCGGCCAGCAGTTCTTCAACGGGCACCCGCTCTTCCTGCACCCCGGCCAGTTCGCCATGGGCGGCGCCTTCTCCAGCATGGCTGCGGGCATGGGGCCGCTCCTGGCCACCGTGTCTGGCGCGTCCTCCGGCGGCGTCTCGGGCCTGGATTCCACCGCCATGGCCTCGGCAGCCGCGGCGCAGGGACTGTCCGGGGCCTCGGCGGCCACCATACCCTTCCACCTGCAGCAGCACGTCCTGGCCTCCCAGGTAAGCCGGGCTCCCGCCTCTCAGCCCCTCCCCCTGGCCTGGCGGCTTTGAATAGCAAGTGTTCTAAGTGTTCCTGTTGGCCACTGCCAGAGGCAAGACTTATGTCATTGAGTCACTGAATTCAGCCGCCCTCCCCCATAAAACCCTTCAAAATGCTTTCCAGGGGCTGTCTGCCGCCCAGTAGATCGAGAGTGCTAAGGATACCGGCTCCACGCAGCTGCAGGGGGGACCAGGCCCCCTTCTAGCTCCTTGGTCTACTCTGACTCTTGGATCTAAGCTCTTCAGTGGGACTTTGGGCACCTCTGCTTTTCAAGTGGAGGGGGAGAGGCCCAGAGATGTTGAGGAACCTGTCTAAGGTCCCACAGTGAGTCCCTGGGGGAGCTGAGACGATTCCCAGGCAGGCTGACTCCACAGAGTTGGTTGCTTTCAGTGGTTTTTTTTTTGCTCTCTTTTGGTTTTGTTTTGCTTCAGAGCAAATGTCTCTGAAATACACCCCCCCAGAAGTGGACAAGAGGGAGATTGAGGCCCAGGGAGTGGAGGTGGCTGCCTGGGGGAGAATCCGGTCCTGTCTTGAGCTCTGCTCCCCACCCTCCATGAGGAGCTCCACCCCGAGAGGGTTAAAGTGTCTGCGTCAGCACTGGGTCAGGCCTGGGCTGCAAGGCTGTGCAGGACAGCCCTGGGACAGCTGTGCCAGGGTGCTGGGTGGCCGGGAGAAGGCTCCAGCCCAGGACGGCCTGATCCAGGGAAAGGTGGCCGGGCTTCTGCAGGCGCTGTCTTTTGTTTTGTCTGAGCACATTGGTCTCCCTTCCAGAGCCAAGAGGCAGGGCTGGCCTCCCCTGGGGGAGCACAGCCTGGGCTTCTGTCCGCCTCAGTTTCTCCCTCTGCAGCGCCCCCAGACCCTTTCCCAGGCGGACAGGTGACCGGCGGGGGGGAAGGCCGTGCTGGGGGAGGCACGGAAGCGGAGCCCTTGCCTTGTGCACTTGGCTGAGACTTCCCGGGCTACCTGGCACCTGCTCGCCTCCGTTTCCCACCTGTGACACCCACCGGCACACTGGTGACTTTTTGAGCTCCGTTGGTGACAGATGTCCTTTAGACTCCCCTCCCTCTGGTTTCCCTTTTTCTTTTTTTTTAAAAAAATTTGAGGAACTTCTAGGATGGGAGTGGAAAGTTGGGGGAGGACCAGAATGACAAAAATAAATGATCCGGATAACCTGGGTCCTCCAGCACCCCGGCCAGCTGCCTCTGCAGGGCAGACTGAATCTGTGGTCCCATGAACAGGTGAAGTGCCACCCCTCGTGGGGAGACGTCCTCCAGCCTGGCCGCTCTTGCTGACTGCTTTCTCCCGTCCCCAGGGCCTGGCCATGTCTCCCTTCGGAAGCCTGTTCCCTTACCCCTACACCTACATGGCCGCAGCAGCAGCCGCCTCCTCCGCGGCCGCGTCCAGCTCCATGCACCGCCACCCCTTCCTCAGCCTGAACAGCATGCGGCCGCGGCTTCGCTACAGCCCCTACTCCATCCCGGTGCCGGTGCCCGACAGCAGCAGCCTGCTCTCCACCGCGCTGCCGGCCATGGCCGCGGGGCCTCTGGACGCCAAAGCCGCCCTGGCTGTCAGCCCCGCCTCGGTTGCAGCCGTGGACTCGGGCTCGGAGCTGAACAGCCGCTCCTCCACACTGTCCTCCAGCTCCGTGTCCCTGTCTCCCAAACTCTGCTCGGAGAAGGAGGCGGCCACCAGCGAACTGCAGAGCATCCAGCGGCTGGTCAGCGGCTTGGAAGCCAAGCCCGAGCGGTCTCGTAGCGAGTCCCCCTAAACCCCTCCCCAGAAAAGTCTTCATTCCAGTTCAATCAAGTCTGCAGTGCACTTTTTTGGGGATGTAAAACAAACCACAGGGCCTGCTGTGGGCTTCCCCCGTGCTTTGGGGCCGGTGTCTGGGAAGGGGCACCGGACTCCCTGGAGAGAGGCCAGCGCTCCAGCCAGGCCCTGTCTTCTCAGTGTGGTTTATGTATCCGGGATCTGGCTCGCATTCTGGGGGCTCGGAGACGGCTGTTGCATTGAGCAATGGGGGGGGCGGTGAGAAGAATTTTATTCCAGAACAACTTCCATCGAGGCTGGTCTGGAAGCTGTGGCTGAAGAAAAGTAGCCAGGCCCACCAGGGGGAGGGGAAGTGTTGAAAGCCATCTTCCTCCACATGGATTTATATATATATATATATTTTTTTTTTTTCTTTCACTCTGTCAAGTGGAAACAAAAATTTAAAAAAATTTTAAAACGGGGACAAATGAATCCATGAACATGATTCTGTTTATGAAGATTGAAAACTTTATAAGTGACTTGCAAATCAGTTGTCAATTGCTGGGCTGGGCAGTGGGATGGGGGTGGCAAGTCCTCACCATTCTTGTTTAATCTATACTAAGAAAATTGTGTCTTTTTAATATTCTTGTGATGTTTTAAGAGCCGCTGTAGGTCTCTTCCTGCATGTGCCACAGTCATGTATTTGTGGGTTTTTATTTTGGACGCTTGCTTTTAGAGAGAACGGCCTAACCCACCCCCTTCCCTCAATCCTGTGCCCTCACCCCAAAGAAATGGGATGGGGGGCTTCCAGGGAAGGGGTTGGGAAAACAAAAACCGAATTTATTTTATCTAAGCTCTGTAGCAGGATTCATGTTCCTCTTTGGCAGTTCGTTCTCTTTCCTGTATATGCAATAACAAGGTTTAAAAAAATAATAAAGAAGAAGCGAGACTATTAGACAAAGTATTTATGTAATTATTTGATAACTCCTGTAAATACGTGGAATATGAATGCTCTGAAAATTAAACTTTAATTTATTGACGATTGTACATAGCTCTATGTAAATAGGATTGCAACTGTCCAGTTTTGTTCTTGTTTTTCTTGAGTTGGTTTTATTTCCAGGTCAAAGGATTGCTGTTCACACTAGGAGACAGAGTTCCCGCACCAACACTTACTCTCAAAAGAAGCTTTCTGCAAAATTATTTTTCTTCTTTTTTTCATCTCTGAGGGTGCAGGGAAAGTGCTATTTCCTATTTTAGCCAGAAGTGGGGAGGGGCTTGGCACTTACCCGCTCAGCATTAAATTCCTTAAAATCTAACACCCTGGCTGGGGTCTGAGATTGCTTTGGGAGGGGGAGGCTGAGGAGGTTTGATTTCCTAACTTTTCTTTTGTGTTTGTATTTGCTAGTTTCTGATTTCCTCAAAACGAAGTGGAATTTACTGCTGTTGTCAATTTGGTGGCGTTTTGAACTGATGCCTAAAAAGGGAGAAATTCACAATTCAAATGTTAGGTGCTCAGAGCTGGTTTGGAAAGACAGAAACCCATGAAGGTATCTTTTGTGTTTTAGCTGTTGATGAGTTCTTTGGTTTTCTGTGTAACACCCCCCCTTTAAAACATCACTGAAATTTCAATAAATTTTTATTGAAATACCTCTGGGCCTCCTGTTAAATGCTTATTTGACGAGCTCTTCTTCGTGAAGGTAGAAAACGGGAGAGAACAGGACCTGACTCTCCTCTTTTCGCCTGCCCCCTTCCCTTTGCCTTTAAATAATTAAGACCGCCCCCCGCGAAGCAAAACGACTTGTCACTCAAGTTACAAAGCTAAAAACAAAAGTCCCTGACTCCAGCGAAGGGAACCGCTTCAATCTGAAAACGCTTGGCCTTTAAATTAGACAGCAAAACTGGAGACAAGTGGAACCTGATTAGAATTCGTTAAGAACAGTTATTTCAGATACTGAAGTAGTAACAGAAAAAGTTTTTGCTCGGTCCCTAAGTCCCCCCACACACACACACATATACACAGGAGTCCAGCCAAAGCAAGTTTGAGCGCTAGGAACTTTATTTCGTTTAAGGCTCCCTCTCCCTTTTGGCTTCGATCTAGGGAATCCAAGTCAAAAGTGCTTTATCTCCCCGCACGGTGCGCTCGGCCCACAAAAGGGTCCCAGGATCCCCTCCCCGCCGGACCTGGCTCGGCCAGGCGGTGCCCTCGGGGCTGTGGCAGGAACAGCCGCGCCAGTCCTGGCCACTGCCCCGCGCGCCCGGCCACCAGGCGTCTCCGAGGGGAACCGGCCGGCCCCAGGCGCCGTGCAGTCCCGCGTGGGCTCTGCGCAAACGCTGCTGTGTGTCCCGCGAGGGAGGGACGTGTCCCTCGCCAGGGGAAAGGTAACCCCTATGTAAACCCACCTCCTCCAAGGAAAAGCCGGGCTGGAGGCTGGCACAGTCCCCAGCGCGTCCCCTCCGTCCCTCTCCAGGCAGCTGTGGAGAGCTGGCGGTGGAAATTCCATGTACCTTTGAAATACTCCAGAAAAAGCGGTGTCCAGCCTTCGATCTCCCTCCCACCCCTGCTTGGCCGTGGAGGTGCGTGTCTGTCTTGGGGTGCGGGGCGCAACAAGGGAAGGTCAGCCCTAAACTTTGGTTGTCCCGAGGGCCTTGACGCGGAGACAGAGCCGGAGCCTGCCCGGCGACTGCCGCCCCGCCCCCACCCCCTCCCGGAGCCCGCCAGCCGGGCCCCAGGTCCCTGTCACCTTCGGGCCTCTTGATGTCCGCCGAGGAGGCCCCCTCCCCAGCCTTCCTGTACTTGGAGGAGGATGGAGGTCTAGACCTTTTGGAGAGGAGGCCAGGCCCCTTCCCTCCCTGGCCAGGCGCGTGGGGGTCCCCACGGCCTCTCCTGAGCTGTCTGCGGGCTCAGGGAAGACAGCCGAGTGGCGGGGAGAGCCGGGGCCTTCGGGGCTGCAGCTCCCCGGGGAGCCCCAGACTGCAGGGCGCGCGCCCTGGGCGCAGCAGCTGCTGCCGAATGGAGCCAGTTTTGGGCCCCAAGAAAACGCACATTGATCCCGCTAGGAGAAGGTGGGAGTCGGCGGGCTGACCCCTGATGCGCACTTCCAAATTGGAGAGAAAATAACTCGGTTTCCAAGAGGGACCAAAAACATACATTTCTTTCTTTCTTTCTTTCTTTCTTTCTTTCTTTCTTTCTTTCTTTCTTTCTTTATTTATTTATTTTTGGCTTTTCTTTCTCGGTCCACATTTGCTTCCCCAAATTTGGGGACAGTGCTCAAAGGTGGGTCCTGCCTGTCCTACAGGCAGGCTTCGCTTCCTCCTTTTCTTTCTAATCTCCAGTGTATCTTATTTGTATACAGCGATGTTAATAAGTAACCCTTGTGGCGCTGACGGGCGGGGGGGGGGTGGCGGTGAACGGCTCGCAATCTCTGGATTTCGTAGCCTATTACTCACCTGGCGCCGGTAGCAATCTCGCCGCGGGCTTTATGGCGGCTGCGGGCGGCCGCCGAGGCCACGCGGGGCCTGCGCCTTGGACTTTTCCCCGGGCTTCGAGTGCCACCTATCTGTCTGCGCCACCAGTGCGCCCTGGCAGCTGCGGCCGGCCGGCACCCAGCGCCAGCCAGGTCCTGAACGTGGGTGCGTCGCCTTTGTCCCTCTCTCCTCCCCGACAGCCCCAGCCCGCGCCCCCAGCCCCGGCGCGGAAGAACCTTCTTCCTGGATATCCCTTCAATCCCCGTTTGAGCCTCAGATGAGAAAAACAGTCCCCGCCTGGGTGTCCAGAGAAAGTTCGCGAATTCAGCTTGGGGACCAGCGCTCGCAATTCTCTCTCCAAATAAATACTTCTCCGGCCCTTGTGGAAATCCGTGGACCCGCGCGGCAGGGGACGACCTGCATTTGGGCTGAGCGGATCCCTTCTCCCCAGTACCCGGACCGGGAGCTCTACCCGGGTGCCCCGTCCCTTCGCCTCGATGATCCCTTTCTTACTTTACAATTCTGCAAGTTTTCCTTTCACTAAACCTGGCTACGTCTACAGGGACAAAGGCCACGGCTCGGGCGGTGGTCAGCCACCAGCCTGCAGGGCCCAGCTACTCGGGCGACTTGTAGATTGGCGGCGACAAACGCGGGTGCCGTCCGAGGCCCCTCCCCGCCGGCCCTGTCCCCCAAGGGCCAGGAACGTGGGCTCCAGGTCCGGCTGCGCCCCAGCGTCTGGGACCCGCGCAGGGGCGGGGTGGGTCGCCTTCTGCCGCGCTTTGAGCCGCGGGTGCAGGCGTCCCGGCTCCTGCTGACCTCCGGGCGCTAATTGCAGGGGTCGAAGGGCGGGCTGGGGCGGAGGCAGAGGTCATGACCCTCACCCCCCTTCTCCGGGCGCCAGCAACCCCGAAGGAGCGAGCTAGTGTATATGCGCGTGCAAAAGATCTCTCTCCTGGGACACTTTGTGTGTGTGTGTGGAGGGGGGGTTCCCATAGAGCAGGCCCTTGAAAAAAATGCCACCCCAGAAGGAAACCCGGGCTGAACCACTAGGCAGGCGCTGCCCGGGCACTGCCAGCCCGCTTTCTGCCTCACTGCTTCCAAATTTGACCCCTGGGCTGGCGCCAGGACAGCGGTTGTTGGGGTGTAGCTTTGATGGGGCTCAGGACCTCAGCTGTCCTGGACCCAGCTGTGTGTGTTCACCTCAGGAGCAGCTCTGGGGCGTCCAGAGCTGAGGGCAGGGGCTGCAGGTGTGGGAACGATGTGTGTATGTGCGCGTGTGCGCACGCGCGCATACTCGTGCATGCCGCGTCTGCATGTGTCTTTTCCAATTTGGATTTAGAAATTCAAGCGCAAGACAGTTCCGGATGTAGATGCATTTGGCTGTTTTATAATCAAGATGCGTGTAATCAAGAAGTATATGTTGCAGATGTCGGCGTGCAAAATACACATAACAACATAATAAAAATAGCTGCCATTCAAGGGGCACATGCATGTGCCGCGCACCCAGTAAGCACCCCCACAAACGTGGACTCCTGAAGCCTCCGGCTCAATCCTAGAAGGGGTGCACGATTTTAATCCTGTTTCACAAAGGGGAAACTGAGGCACCGGGCAGTTCCGTCGCTCACCCAAGGTTATCATCGGGAGGAAGTGGTGCAGCCGGATGTCCAGGGCGGGGCTGATCGCCCCTAACTTGGTGGAGCCCTGGGGTGCCACGCAATGGGGGGCCGGAAGTGAGTCTGCAGGGCCTCACTCGAGAGCATTTTAGTGCCTTTGGGAATCTGTTGTGCGATGTGGGAGGATTGCTTTTACTTCAGGGTTCCCTGCTCTTCTGGGTCCCGAAACATACGTGGGAGAGGGGCCGAGGGCTTGGGGTCTTTCTTCCCAGGTAAGCGGAGGCAGAGAAGCCTCATTGGAAAATACCCGCAGGTGGGCATCCAAGGAGACAGTTCACGTCCACCCAGATCTGAGAGAAAGGGGTGGGGGTGGGGAGAGAGAGAGGGACAGAGGGAGAGAGGGGGAGAGAGGGAGAGAGAGAGGGAGAGGGAGAGATGCAGCCCGTGTGACCACTCCAACTGCATGTTTTTTCTCTTTAGCCAGGTCGGGGAGCAGTGCTGGCCTTGGGGTGTCCCGGGCTTTCCTCTCCCCACTTCCGATCAGCCGTGTGTCCCCCGCATTTACTGCCACCTGTCCGCCCGGGGGGGCCAAGGCCCGGGCGCTGCACTGGGGCTGCAGGCCGGGCACTTGTGGGTACAGAGAGATAGTTGGCCCTTTCCCCAAGGCGCAACCCTACCCACTATGCTTCTAAGTGAATGGGGTTCCCCTGCCCTCTCACTTTCCACTCTGTGGCCCCAGCTGGAAGCTGAGGACTCAGCCACTGGAGACCAGGATTCCACTGAGAAGGGGGAGACCCCTTCCCGCAGGATGCATGCAGTCTGCAACCTGGGCAACCTCAAGGTCCCAGTCACTCACCCCGAGAGGCAAAGGCCAGGTCTACCTACAGAGTGGGCCAGGGCTGGGATGAGCGGGGATGGCCTTGGGGTTCTGAGCCTCAGGTTTGATGCAGCCCCTGAAATGGGGTGCCAGAGTCCAGGTTGGGGTGTCAAAGGGGGCATCAGAACCCGGATGGTACCACGGAGCCGACAGCTCCCCCAGTCCAGGGCACCCGGGCCTAGGATCCGTCAGCCGGGCTAGTTGAGCTTTTGAAATGCGATCCCCGCCACTTCGGTTTCCCCGCTAATGACCCTGCTCGGTTTCGGGTGGCGGAATTGCACCTGGAGGGAGCCAAGGTGGCTCTGTGGCCTTGCTCTTCCTGCAGGCCGGCGGGGCGCAGCCAGGCCCGTTCCTCCCCAGTCCCACCTCGAGGACGATGGCACGATCTGACCATCTGACCATGTCGTCCTCCACCCGGTTCCCCACGAAGGCGTCTTTGATGTCACTCTTTCTCTTCCCGTGCTGCTGGGACCTGGTGTCCCTAACCCCAGGTCACCCCCAAACCCCGACCCTGGTGGCTTGGCTAGGTAGAATTTAACTTTGGGACCTTTCTCTCTCTCTCTCTCTCTCTCTCTCTCTCTCTCTCTCTCTCCCCTAACTCCAGACCCAGAGAAGGCCTCAGGCACTGTATAATGACTCAATTCAATAATGACATTAACTTATCAGCCAAATGATTATGAACTCATTGTCACC